AAATCAATTTTTCAATATACCAGCGAAATATTCGTTCTCTGCGCGGGGAAATGATAAAAACACTAAGCAAGCAAGATTTTTATTATGACTATTTGATGTGACAATAAAAATATTTCAAACTCAGCTAATATTTTTTATTATTTCTTCCAGGTGAAAGTAATGCTTAGGGTTTCCACACCCACAGCGCATCAAGATGTGGCATCGATGGGAGCAAACAGTTTTTTCAACTTGGACAAACGAAAGAAGCAGGTCACACTAATCGACCCCACAACGTGTTCGGGTACTTCGGCACCGGAAGATCGACGAGTAGGCGTTGCCGCCCCGAAGATGTTTGCCTTCGACGCGATGTTCTCACAGGATGACTCCCAGGTAATTATCGCTTATTATACAGTTTCACACACATTTAGCACCTACTTTCACATCTATCTCTCGTATATATAGACTTAGAGTAACTAGACGATAATCATTCGCTTGACCAGCGCATGCAAACGTGAATCGTCGACGATTTCAATTAAACTAAAACACGAAACAATGGTGCGGGTGTTCGGCGCGTCGCAATTTAAATTTCATTAGTCAGGGATTTAATTGAGTAACGCCGTGCCCGCACTGAGTCCGGGGATGTTTCCGCGCCGACAACAAGGCAAACGAGCGTTAGCGTTAACTAACGGCATGGCCGGCACGGCGATACATTTGATTCGACATTCCCCGACGATTTGATGACCACTGCTCGCCGTCGAGAAAGCGACTGCTTTAACGAGCTTTTCAACGCCATACTTTATTATACTTTGAACCGCGTTGTTTATAAGCGCAGTGATGGTTGCGAAAAAATACAGAATTTCTTTTATACCAACTGTTTGAAAATCAAAATATGCTCTAAAATTTATTTTTAGTTTTAAAAGTGATTATATGTTCGATAAAATTACATTCGAATAGTTTTTTACATTTATATGAGGTTTTTGTGTGGTGCCTGTATATTTGTCTCGTCTGCTCTTCTCAGTTAGTGCAATTTGTTAGCGTTGCAACACATTGCATGTATTTGTATTCGCACACGTGTCGGACGTCATGTGTCGATGTGCTCGTTTGTCGGCAACCGGTGTAGTCATTGATTAAAGTAAACTCTTAAAACAAACACACCGTCGAGCACACTCTGCACATCCAGGATGCAATAAATGACGGAACTGACTTTTTTCCTATCACAACTTACACCTACATATATTGAAAAATATGTCTTTAATATTTTATAATATTATATATTCGGTAGTCTATAAAGTAGTGGAATTTTTACCTAATTTAGTAATCTGCTTGCATAAAAAACTTTAAGACATTTTATGCTCTTGCAGGCAAACCACCCTTGCAAACCAGCACAAAAAAGAACGGGAAAAACAAAAGCCTGCAAGAAATCGTTCTTTAAAAAGATTGAACACGACTTTTACATTTGTGCGTCCTTGCGCGTCGCCCCTTTCTTATTTCGATGGCACTTTGATTGGTGCGCTCAACGAGCGGCGATATATAGCCGAGGGTTTTTTCCTTTCTGTAAAATATCACTTCGATGAACGTTTCTATTCGGATGTCGTTCACCAAACTAGGAGTACTTTCAACGTAGGAAAAACTCGAAAAAAAGACAAACAAATTTCAACCTGCCCACAGGCTATACAAAATTTTACGTTTTTCCTACGCAATTTTAAGTTTTAAAATGGATTTTTTTTGCGAGTGTAGTAGATAATGTAATACCCGCATAAGGGTGTCAAACATATTTGATTATTTTTCATCAACTTGAAGTCTACAAGTTCCGAAGAAAAACGCTCCACGCGTAAAATGTAAAACGGCCTATAAAAACCGACGCGTGTTGTTGTAAAAAATGGAATATCGCAGGGCGATGCGTATATTCATGGACCGTTGGCGGGTTGACGAGGAGACGACGCGTTGCGCGTAAAAAATAATCTTTAATATTACAGCCGCCATGCATAAAACGCTCTCCTGCCGTCGACTCTGTCGCTCTGAAGGAGCAAAACGAGCGAACGCCAATAAACACTTATCAGAAAACGAGGCATGAGCGGCATGGCGTGTTGGAAGCGTCAAAGCAGCTTCGAGCAAGAAGATCGGGGGCGGTCGAAGGAGGCTGTTTTATGTAGGTCGATCCCGTCCGTCCGCCGCGTGCTGACGAGTCTCCGATAATAAACCTTCGTGTCATTAGATCAAATGCCTTTCGACCCCGGCGCCCCGGTACAGATGGTCTTTATTATCGTCTTCTACTTGCGCTTCCTGCTTCCTTCCTTCAATGCGGCGTGCGCGGTGCGCAAGAAACGCGTCGGTTTCGATCCAGACTGATTTATGAAGAGAAAAGCGGCACGCACGTATTGTGGCGAGGAAAGTGAAGTTGGAGGAAATCGTCGACGTGCCAACGAAATTTCAGTTGAAAACGAGGTCGAATTATTCGGATTACAAACGTGTTCATCAATGAATTAAGACGTTAAAGGAAATATAAATTGTTCAAGCAAAATTATAAGCAAGAATTAATTTTTAAATTAAATTTTATTTATTTTGCCACTTAGAGTATAATAAAATGAGGAAATGTTTATTTTTAACTTGATACGACAGGACTCTAAGAGCTTTCCGCTTTTCTGAGCAAAAATGTTGTGATTTTTAGCTCGTTATTTTTGGTGGAGGCGCCCAACATTTCTATACGATATAATTTGACTCGTTCACAGTTGAATAGCCAACAATTAAAAAATTAACGCAGTTTTTAACCGCTTGCTTTTTATATTCCAGACTGAAGTATGCTCGAGTGCCCTCACGGACGTCATCGCAAATTAAATCAGCGGAACGGACGGGTGTCTTTTTTGCGCTTCGGCGGACGCGGTCTGGTAGTGAAAAATGCCACGATTTTTATTAGATTTTTGCTAGCGTTGGCGAGTTGGCTAGTGGTGGCGAGTGACGAGATTTATGACCGCTCTTGCCGGCTTCAGACACCTTCGACTTTGGGGGTATATTTCGCCGATATTTACGCCAATGCAACGGAAGGCGCTCAGCTAACTCAGTTTTCATAAAAGCGTGAAACGTGCAGCATGAAACACACCTTTTACCGTTTGCCATTTGGCGTTTAGTATACGATCACGATCGCGTAAACGTAAACCTAAACGCGTGGCGTTAAAATTCAGAAAACGTCGCGTAAAAATATTTCCTCCGCTTGGCCCAGACGACCGTACCTACGGCCCATCTAATAAGTGCAGGAGTAAATCTTAATTCAAATCTTTATTGCCGAATTATCATTGCGCCATTAATCTTAATTGAACGCGCGCATCGAAGAGAGCCATCAGGGAAATGGATGAAAATGTAAAATAGTTAACGAGCCAAACGCGCATCAGCCGAGAGTGCTGCGAGCTATTTAAAAATTTATGTCGCTTTAAAGAGTTTTATCGGTTTCCATTTTTCAGTTTTTATTGATGTTTTTTTATGCGGAAGCCTGCGATTCTTCAATATCCATTTTGTTAGGAAATTACAGAATTTTATAATGCCATAGAATAACAATATTAACATTATACTATATCAATTTTATTATCACAAACCTATTTATGCAATAATTCATAAAATATGTTACGAAAATCATATTTTCCAAGGTTAAACTAAAAAATTTGAAAAAAGCATTTTCATCTTGTTCAAATGTTAAATTTATATTTAAAAGCGGATTTGTGCATTTTATCAGGATTTCTTTAAACATATTGCACCCACGAGCATATTTCCCACTTACCCCTTGCCATTTCCACCCTGACATGTCTCCGTGACACTTTCTCTTTCTTTTTCTTGCCGCTTCTCTTGTGAACACGCCGCTGGTGAAAATGTCATCCGGGTTTTGTGGTGCGATGCATTTCTATCTGTAAATAGTAGCTTGTGGATGTAAATGCATCCCCAGCAGAAGGAGGAGTACGCTGCTGTGGTAAGGCGGTGAGGGTTTTCCAACATTTTCGCGCACGCTCGCCGTTTGCATCTAAATGGGTTATTATGCGAAGAGTGCGTCTCTTCTCCTGCACTTTCCTTAAGCGATGCCGCACAGCAGGACCTCTTTCGAGATGCGGTCGTTTCTCGTGCATTCTTTTTCCCGGGATTTGCATCGCGTATTTATTCCCACGTCCCACGACTCGGTTTTTCGGTCTCGTGCCCTTGTCCTCGAAAAGCGTTGAATCATGAATGAATGCAATTTAAACGTTTTAAACGTTCCAAATCTGTTTTATAGTGTCTTTTAGAATTTTGCCTGCTCAATTTCAAGTAATACGTTTAGGGGTTGAAAATTGGGGAGTGCGTAACAGTGCGTGAAAATATAAATAAAGAATAACAGCTGGCACAAGTCAAAACACTGTGTTCTTATTTAATGTTGTGGAAAATGAAAAAAAATATTTTTTAAAAATTTAAATCAAAAAACTTACAAACACAATATGATATTCTGACTTTTATACCGTTCTGTTATTTGCGTTAAATCAACATAGTCTTTTTAATTCAACATGATTTTTGTCGGTTTTCAGTTAATTTGATTGCAAATCCAGTCGGTTTTTCTCTGTTATCTCCTATTTGAGTTCAGATATTTTTTTACCAACCATAGTAATGTTGTCGATTGACGATGAAAAGCGGACGGTCATAAATCTAAAAAAAAAACCAAATGCATTCATACGTGCATTACATGCGCAACATTTGCGAATGTAACAGGCCGGCAATGCACGAACGCTAGACGCGTATTTCACCATGGTCGATTTATAAATTTCCAAAGAGTCGCCCGTAGTTTTCACCCGTGCTTGTATAGCTTGTAGCCGATGCGGTCTCCGATCATCTATTCTCTCGATATGCAGCATGCCGCGAGTGTTTGATTCCGCATTCACACGCCGCGCGCGTTTTCCGCGAATTTCGATTCGACTTTCGCTATCGCTCCCCGGGGTGGCATTGGACGCGGCGCGACGCAGTGCTAAATTATTTACCGTCGGCTCGACGGCGGCGCGATCATTAATTAACTTTATTGGGATTGAATGGTCGCGGACGACGAATAGCCGCGGCGCGTCGCCATGGGCAATGCAGTCCTGCACCACGCCAGTCTCAGGATAGCGTGTTATTTGTGGCGGCGGGTGGGCAGGACAAAAAGTTGATTTAATGTGGGCGACAATTACGCTCGGCGTTTTAAGCTAATTGAGATTTTAATTGTAATCGATCCCTTGGTGGATATTTATCAATTACCAATTGCCCAAATGTGACAGGAACTATATATCTCGAACTCAGGAATCACAGCAGGGTATAATTTGTGTAATAAAGGTAGTGATATACATGAATGAGATTATATGTTGATGAAAATTTCGATTACTGTAATTTTCTGCTTCGTTCAAGTTGAAAATTGGCAAAGAATTGCTATAAATTGTAGCAAATTGTACAAATTGTACGAGGATTTAATGGTTCTAAAGTTGGCATTGACTATAGGACTGTAGGGCTATAACTTTACACAATGGTTAGTTTTAAAGTCCTTCTTAACCTCTTTTTATCCCTGTCGTGGCCATAAAATATAAAATGAGACGAAACTGAAAAGTCCATTATACAACTCGAAAAATCGGTAATCCCAACATAAAACTAAGCACATTTTTCGTCGCAACTTTTTTCTTTTCCCTCTACAACCTACACCTCCATTTTATCGCATTTTCGTATTTCGTTTAGGTTTCGATTAGGCCATAATCAAACCCATGCAATGCAATGGCATAGACCTACTGTTTCCGTTCGGTTCCACTTTTGCACTGCAGCGTTTTTCTCTGCTTCCACTAAGTGATGTGCAATGAAAACGTGTACACGTGGAGCCGGCGCAGCCGAATTGAGGCGGAGGACGTAGTTATCTAGTCACCCTGGCGGTTGGCGGATTATGGGGCGGCTTATCGCGCGCGCTGAAAAATTGCGAAACTCCAAGTGCGCACGTTGTAAATTTGCGTCGAGCCTATTTCGTATGCACGTTCAATACTTTATAGGAAATTTCGTCCTGTGAATACGTAAAACACAAATAACTCAGCTTCGGCACGTACAGGTACAAAATTCCTAAAATGAAAGGAATTTACTCAAAAATTATAATCACTTAGTTATAATTTTCATCTAATTTACTTCATCTTTCGATTAATATTTTCAACCTCCTCTTGAGATATTTCAATTAGTAATTTTCTTGTCTCAATGGTACCTTTGTGATTATTTTGCCTAGAAACATATCGCAGTACGCAATCCGCACATGCCGCACGAAGCAAAGAAGACGAATTCGAAGAGACGGATTTGATATTAATCTCCAGAGCGCGCCGGCGGATTGTTCGCTCGCTGGCGGCGGCGGCGCGCTCTTTGTGCGACGATGGAAAATTGTTTACTTACTTCATTAGTCTTGCGTGCGCCCATATTAAAGCGCAGCGCCGTAAATTTCCTTGATTAAAACCCCTTCTGCCTCGTCATAACCGACGTCGTCGCTCGTTAAGCTCAAGCTCCTTCTGCTCTAGCTACAGCTAGAGGGCTGGGCAGGTTGTGCTAGAATGCTCTTTAATTATTAATTTACAAATTGTGCGCGTATTGAACCTACAATTACCTCAAGTGTACGCATAAATACCAATTTAAATCATGAGAAATTATAATTATTTTAATAATGTATTTATTTGTTTAACGGAAAATGATATACGATGCTGGGCACGCCGGAAAATGCCAACACACTCGGGATTATCCCATGCGCCATTTCATGGTTGTTTCGTGGAATCAACGAGCAGAAACTGAAGACTGGGGCACGATTTTCTGTCCGCGTGTCCGCCGTAGAGGTTTGCGGGCCAACGAATCAACTTCGAGACCTTCTGGCCGGACATTCTAATGGTGAGTAGCGTTTTTGTCTACTTCCGTAAAACTGTGGCGGTTTTCGTGGCGACAGCATTCGCCACTCGCCCCGAATTTATCAATGTTTTGTCGCATTTTCCTGATCCCGATGATAAAAACCAAAGCAAACTTTCGGAGACTAATAAATCCCAATTCCGCCTTGCGATAATTCATTACGAGCGACGCAAACAAAGTTTTGTTAATTCATTTATACACCAAGTGTTTAGACAAATCTAAATTAGTTTGGTCCACGGTATCGAATGATATATCTGCATTAAATCGTAATTAGTCTAATGTCCCAATGTCTATATGTATTTTAATTCAAAGTCTAATAAATTCCCGGTTAGACTTTCCTTATATCCTCGAACGGCAAGCGGGGACCCGCACCATCGCCATATTTGTCATGTAAATATGAAATTTATTAGTTTTCATTAATCTACGTTCGCTCGGCGTCGAATCTAATGCGTTATCGACGCCCAGATTATTCCTTCCGCATTAGTTTATTACCGCGCCTTCGTTTGCGGTGCAGATTTCTCACTTAATTACGCAACTGAAAACTTGACAAATCTATTTAATCGTTCGCTTCACGAAGCGGCGAGGCATTACTCCCTTGATTTTCCCTAAGTTGCATTGGAGTTTCGTGAATGAACGAATGAAATAAGATGTGAACACGCACGGCGCAAGGAAAGCCCAGTCGACGAAAAAAAAATCCACACGTTATTACGTTTTGAATAAATAATGTGTAATGTTGAGTGGAGCGCGAAATCCTGACGTGCCCGCGAGACGAGAAAAGACGGGGTGCAGGGCGGTTCGGACAGGAGGGTCTTTGACTTTGATGGATGAAACGCTACGTCAGACTGAAGTCTCGTGGAAATATATTTTCACTTTTTGTTTTTTTGCATTGCCTTTGTTTTGTAATATGAGCGCGCAAGGTACACGTGCATTTTCACACTTCAAATATTTCCAACTTTCAAGGGCAATAAAAATTGCATATGCGCGGAGAAATTTTAATTTAAGCTTACCCTTTCGTTCACAGTCATAACAAGGCATAACTTGCCACTACCTGGTGCAGCTTGGCATGAATAAAGCATTCAAGTCGAGCTGAAAATCAAGGAAATGCCGGAATGTTAGAGCTTTGGCGTTGTTAATACCAGAATGGTGCCTAGTGCTATGCGCCACGTTTGCCGCTTCTGGGCGTCTTATCGACTTTGCAAGTTGGCGGAGGCGCTGCAATAAAACACATCTGCCGCAAAACGACATCCACTTTTATTACGATTTCTACAATTCCCCTATGTAGGGACACCTTGTAGAGACGAGCACGACCGGATGGCCAACTATCGCAATGCTAAAGCTCTAATTCCGAAAGAATAAACTTCCGACATGTTGTTTCTACACTTATTGTGGTTGTAACGAGCATGGCATGTCTTTGATCGTGATAATATGCATAATTGTGGTTTAAAAAGCGCTAGCCAACAATGCAGGTCTTATTAATTAAACTTTTAGGAAGTATAATATAAATTGCTTTGTTCCACCACCTTTAATCTGTCTACTGAGATAAAAGTGCTAGAAAATATCTTTTCTTGCCTCATTTGTATTTATTATTCAATTTTAGATTCGGAGCAATCCCCAGGAGTGTATCTGCGAGACGATCCGCTCTTTGGCAACCAGCCGCCACACTGTGAGCTCCGAGTGCCGACGGCAGAAAAGGCGGCGCACTATTTGGACGCGGCGGTCGAATGCCGGTCGCCGCGACGCGAGGACTCTCCGCGCGATTCACACCTGCTTTTTACACTACACGTCTACCAGTATTCGGTGGCGGGGAAAGGAGGCGGTAAGTTGCTCTCGTATTCGCACCCCAGTCACACGGACACACTAACACACACTCCATGCTCGAGTGATATCTTCATCTCATCGTAATTGGTGCGAAATTTAAAATTTATGTTAATTGGATTTCTTATCTTTCTTTTCGTACGAAAATAAGACGCGTCTCGTTTATACACCCGTGTAGAATGCCTCATTCTTTTATTAGCAAGCACACTTTTATCCTTATCTTGCTCACTTGCTTGCAGTGGATGATATTTGAAAAATTTGTTTCAGTCGCCGGAGGCAGAAGTCGGCTGCACTTGATCGACCTGGGTAACTCTGAACGCGGAAAAGCAAGTGGCGGCATCCCACTCTCCGGGTTGGGAAACATCTTGTTGGCGATATTCAATGGGCAAAAGCATCACACTACAAGAGCACAACACGCACTGCTGGTGTCTCAGTTCATTGACTTGTCACGCGGCCATGATTGCGCACGTGTCTCCGTATGCACAGAACTACAATGATACATTGACCACAGTGCAATTAGCTTCTCGGATTCATCGCATGCGACGTCGACGGATTAAGTTCGTTAACGTGGGAACAGGGAACGGGTCAGGCGGCAGTTCGGGTGAGGAAGCGACGCGTACTCAAGGCACCGGCACCAGTTCTGAACCTGACCCATCGAGTAGTGACCTTTCAGCTGACACTGTTATCTATGTGGGTCCAGCTGATGATGCCACAGATGGCGAACACCCACCTGTGTACATCCCAAGTTTAAACTCTGGAGACAACAGGTGTGTTATGAGTAAAGCCTTGCGTGGTTCATCGGCTGAACAACGACCGAAAACCAAAGAAGAAAAGACTCCCACACATCGACCCAGTGTCAAAACAGCTTGTCAGAATGGGGCCCAGAGTGCAAAAACATCACCTGCTCATACAAACAACACTCCCAAGGCATCTCCTGCTCGACAGGTTAACAAGAAACAACCAACGGAAGCTGGCAAACATCAAACAAATGGAGCCAGTGATGAGCAGTGGATAGATGGACCTAGAATATCCAAATCGAAAGTGGCTGAAGCGAGGCATTTCATGAAGGAGCAACAGCATGTGAAAAAACGTGAAACGTGGATCGATGGCCCTATGCAAGCTGAACCAGCTCAAGGATATGGGTACATGGACAATCACAAAAAGAATATGATTCGCAAGTGGGTGGAACACCAAACGTCACAAATTGTACAGAAGGTTAAACCTGAAAAAAGTGAAAAACCGTCTAGTCGAACAAAAGAATTAACCCAATTTAAAACGTTTGATGACAAGGAAGAAGTAGTAAAACCGCCGTTAGACACTACTAAGAAGCAAGATGTTGAAGAGTGCGTGATTCGAACAGGTTTAAAACTGTCAAAAACAGCAGCGGGGATAATTCCAGAATGCAGAACGCCCGAGGAGATGAAGGACGAGGAGGAAGACGAAGAGGAACCGGAAATTCCTCCGGCACTTCCTCTAATCAAACCGTTGAGCTCACGTGAAGTGAGTTTAGAGAGTTTAGACCAGTTATTGAAAGAAAGGCAAATTTACAACGCGGAATATAACAATTTACAGCAACAAAATTACGATGACCAAAATGGTGTCAGAATGATAGTGACGAGGAAGAGGATGACGATGAGGTTCTAGAAATTATTGAAGTGGAAGAACCACTGGAACCAGTTCCAATGCAAGACTGTTGTTTGCAAGTGACAGAGGAAGATATTGCATTTTGCATGGGTTTTGCTGAAAACCCACTACCTGAAGTTAGACCAAGAGAACCCCTTGGACCATCCATTGCGGATACTCAGTCAGGAAAATTTAACAGTTGTAAGCACATTTACAGATTCTATGTCTGTTTATACAGATTTAGAACGAATACTTCCACGTCATAAATATGACCATAAATACGGTTTTTACCATGATGACTATGAAGATCCCGATAATCCTAAATACGATGAGCAATCGCAGAAAAAATTTGAACAACTTGCGCGCCTTCATGAGTTATACTCCAATCGACTGGCAAAGGCCAACGTAGCCAATTCCGAAACCTTCCAGAAACAACAGAGACACAAGATGATGTCGCGTGAGATCGCTTACGATTGACAGACGCCTTGTATATATGGTGTTACCGGAGGTCACCATGGACTGAATGATAACAGCAGTATCTACAGTGAGCCTGCTTACATACCAGATGAAGAAAAATTTTGCCATAATTGTCAGGTGAGCATCGCACGTCCAGCCACCTCGCAGAATTGGTACATGGACCCACACATTTCAGCCAGCACCACAGAGCTTTCAAAAAACGATGGGACGCGACCGATCAGCGGTCGCGTCCAAAGGTATTGCCACAAAACCAACCACAAAGAAACAAATCTAGCTTATTTAAGACATCCAGATGGCGCTTCTAATCCCAACTTGCAAGAAGGACTTGAACGTACCACCAACTCCTTACAAAAGACTCAGCCGATTACCAAGGAACCCAACTTTACCTTACCATTACCTAGTACCACGGAGCTGCGTATTCTGAATATGGAGACTGGGTTAACAGGGATTAAAATAAAAGCGGAGGGTTATGACAGCGGGCATGATTCTACACCACGCACGTCAAAGCACAGTCCAGCCGCAATTTCCCGCAAAGCGGAAAGTGGGTATGACAGCGTAATCAGAGATAGCGAAAGTTCAAGCCTAGATTCGGATACGAGTCGCGCTTCCCATCGAAACCGGAAGTGCAAGCACAAGCACGATTTTGGCTGGCGAAGTCCTTTTGTTCGTGGTTCTTGAATCCGTTCACATGTAAATACATTGAGGAGCCGCCTGAAACGCATTTTTAACCCAGATTTTAATACGAATCACTAATTGGTGATCACAGCACGTCCAACTAGTGTTTCAACTTAATAAACAGCAAACTCAAGTCCACATTTCAACAATAATCTATTGCTATCAATTTTTGTAAAATGTATCTGTTAAACTATCTCTAATGACATCCAATTGAAGAATTTGCCTCAGGAACATCAAAACATTCATTTTAGTCGGCCATTTACTAATCATATCATAACGATACACAGGGTTGATTAGGCATATTTAAACAGGCATGTAGATTTTATACGCGCTCGATAAGAAAACCAACCGTAACACGGTAACGAATGTCTAAAGCAGAGAATGAACACATCTCGACCAGTCTTCTAACGTGTATATTTGTATATATCCCAAAAGATACCCACCACGATTTTTTTACGAAAAACATTACGAAAACGATGCTTTTCAATCATTTGTACACTAACTAAACTTAACTAATATTTAAACGAATGTTTCTATGACATAGAGGAAGCCCACTGAAAACTGAGAACGCCATGTTTCGAAAAACAACACTCAATATCCTTCCGGGATCAATGAATTACTGTATTTATATATTGTGAGTCATAACGAACGATCGAATGATATTCTTGCCAAACTTTTATAAATGATACCAAGACTGCTTGTCAATTTTTTGATGATCTCATTATCGATATCAGTCATGATATTCAATTGTATATTCCTTCAAATTTGTTCCCCATGATGATTTCTTCTTCTTCGCGAGTACGCCCAGTGAATCTGTCCGCGCACGATCATCGACGAATTGCATTTATCTCACTTGATATTGAAATGACGAGAGTATGAATATATTATTATACTATTACTTATAAGAGATTTTCTTTGTGATAAAAAAAATGGTTTATTACTATTCATAAACTGCCTATATTGTATGTTAGAATATTTGTTCACGACTTATGAATTATTAAAACAAAAACAAAGCGATGTATGGATGAAAGAGAATGAAACTGAGGAGCAGAAAAACCATGATAATCATGTAATTAGTGTATATTTAATGTATTTATTTCTATTTTATACTGTTATCGAAACGCATTCGTTTTTCTTTTTGTAACATAGCTGTTAGAGGATGATCTATTATCTATAATTGCAAGTTGTATTTGGTTCTTTTTTGACTAAAAAATCATGAGATGAAAAAGCGCACATTTAATTGACTCCATTATAAACTTTTAAGGTATTTCCTAACTGAAACAATGCGGTAAGTGAAATTAGCAATTTAAAACTTTTAATATGAACATAAATTGTATAATTATTGGTGTGTTCCAAAATATTAAGTATTTAATAGTTTGATGTGTCAATCACCCCACGAAATTTGAAATACGAAACTTTTTATATTATTTTCACACACTAATGAAGTGGTTTTGAAGTTTGAACGCATAATTTAATTAATTTAAAAGCACTGTCCATATGTTTTACAAGATATCACTAATTACTACGACATGCCACTCTGGTGGACACATGTTCACTGGCAAATCGCATAACGGCTCCGCCACTTGTTCCCTGGACCCTTTGACTTGCTTTCGTCATAAGCGTAAATTACTTGTTGTGCCCGCATATAATGTCGCCGCGATTCATTGAATTCAATGAAACGATGTGATGCTACAACATGCGCGCGACTTAAGTGCCCCAACTGCCGCAAACTGAATGCGATGAGGTAGTGGGAAATACCATAAACAACTCGGGGAGTTTGGTTTTAGTATAAAACAACCCGCGCCGCCAGTCATCCAGCGATTCAATAAGCGCTCGCGTATAAATAAACAACACTCGCGATACGCCGCGAGCCACACGATGAACTGTGAACCTATTTGACCAACGATAAGTCACGATCATTCGGTGTGCTCTGTGGAGCTTCTTACTTTGCGCACGTACTGCTCTGGAGAACGTAGGCGTTATTCACGGTTACCGGTGGTTTTTGGTGATATCAAGGTGCAAATGCACACCTCGGCGTGGTGTGTTCTAGTAGTGTGCGCCGGATTGGCGCATGCTATTCCCCGTAACCTGCTCTATGATGTGAAGCTTAAGTAAAAGTCTACCGCGCGGCGATGATATCTCCTCCACTGAAATAAATCTCAAGATACCGATAATGACCTTGTAATTTTGTCTTATCACACGCTTTACGTAAGTGCTTTGCTTTAAATTTAACTATCGATGCATAAAAGTGCGCGCAGGTTGCTAGCAGGAAGTGATCGACCAAACTTCGACTCTGTCGATAAACAATGCAGAATAATAACTTGTGTTAAAAGGTCATGCTCTATTTTAAACAAACGCTAGCTTTCAATCAGGTTATTGATCCTCAAATAGACATAAATCAGAATGAATAGTTTATTGATATAGTATGAGTTACAAAACTATTATTGTATCACAATTACAATGTTGTTGGTCATAGAAAATGATTTTAAATTATTGTTTGGGTACCGTTTAGATGGCCATATTGAAATGTTGTTTATTAAGAGAATAATAGGGCATGATTGATAAAACGCAACCACAATGCTGCAACATAAATTCATTGCTTAATTCTATTGCAGATAAACACTAATGGACTCATTTCGTTTAACACGGACATACCGATATTTTTTAATATCGAGTTTCCGCTTGATTTCCCGATTATAGCACCTTTGTATTCAAACATTGATACCACCGGAAGTGGCGACATTTACTATTTTGAGACCGCTGATCGAGACTACCTCGATAGAGCTGACATTACAGTTCTTGAAGCATTTCCGGGTACAAACTTCAGGACGAAGAGTGTTTTTATTGTCAGTTGGATGGATGTGGGATACCATCGTAATGGTACCGATAAGTTGAACACCTTCCAGGTGGCTATTTATTCCAATGGACATGACTCTTATGTTGAATTTTTATACGCTGACAATGGTATTCAATGGATTCACATGGAGCAAGCTGGCGCGAGGCCAGATGCTCGTGCCCAAGCAGGTTTTACATCTGTGGATGGTAGATTTGACACGCTTCCGCTCCGGGATCAGATCAAGTTGTTTACTTGGATAGGAGATCTAATATGAATTTACCTGGGCAGTGGTTGTTTAGAGTGGGTGATATTGGTACAGAAGCAGGTGTGGAGCTTCCTAGAGCGCACAACTCCAAATCAGTGGGGAATTTTGAACCCACTACTTGCGCAACTGCAGAGACTTATTGTCACATGCAAGCGAAGTGTATTGACTATGAAACCGGTTTTGCTGTCATTCAAAAGGGTCACATGGTACAAAGACTTTGCATTAGGAAGGACATACCGTTGAGGGTAAATGGAAAAGTAAATTTGAAAATAAATGAGGAGGAAGCGAATAATTTAGATTTGCAGTCATATGTTGTGATGACAGATGCACGTGCATATACTGCTATATCTAAGATTCCCACTACTATCGGGGCGGATATTCAAGCTGTACAAATCATGGGAGCTACCATTGCATTCTTGTTTGCGAAGCCTGTTGGAGAATCGTTGAACGGATTTCAACTAACTGGTGGTATTTTCAACCACAGTGCAACTATTAAGTTTCCAAACACAAATCAAAAAGTTTCAATCAGACAAAAATATCTTGGCTTGGATGCCTTTGGTCAGTTGAAACTGGAAGCAGATATTACAGGAGAATTACCATCTCTGCCAGAAGATGTGCAAGTCTCTATTGACGAATATCAAGAGCAGTATACAATCACTGCAACTGGAATTATACAAAGTTCTTCTTCACATAAATATAGTTATGAACATCTTGGCGAAGAAATTGAGGTACCTTACAAAATCACACAGAATTTTATTTATGAATACTGCACAGCAAAAGCAACTCCAGTTGGTACCACCTGGAAGCTCCGAGTTGGAAAGAACTTTATCGGGTATGAGGCGCGCGAGCAGATTGTAAGATTCGGAATGAGTAACAAGATTGGTCCACTTGGAGGTAAGACGAATTTGTTTTAATTAATGCGAGTTTTATTATGTTTATACTTACAGATATTGATCCTTGTATCCAGGGCCGTGAAACATGCGGTCCTCACAGTTCCTGTGTAGTAGAAGACGACACCTTCCACTGTGTGTGTAATCCAGGATACCAAACAATTTACGTCAACAACGAAGAAACCTGCGAAGACATAAACGAATGCACATATGGTATTCACGATTGTGACTACAATGCACAGTGCGTTAACATTGAAGGTGACTCATTTATGTGTAACTGCAATCCTGGCTTTGAAGGCAACGGTCGTGTTTGTGAAAACGCTCGAAGTTGCGACGGCGTACAATGCAATAACAACGCAGAATGTGTTGTTCATGCAAGCATAGCCAGGTGTCACTGCATCCCGGGTTTCCAAGGCAATGGTTACACTTGCTCGCCTATTATTTCACAAAGTTGCCATTTGGCCAACAACTGCTCACCCTTTTGATACTGCGAAATAAACCCAGAAGACAATATGTACTCTTGTCGTTGCCTGCCGGAGTATGAAGGAGATGGTTATGAATGTACACCGAGACCAACTGAACTCGCCTCCACCACCTGTAACCGAACCCAACAACTACCATTAATCCGATTATGCCAGAACAATGTTTCAACTCAACGTAAGTTGGTGCCCCCAATGGATTTGTCAAGGATACCAACCGGCTTGCGTTCTTTTTTACTTGGGAAACCCAAGGAAGATGCCCAGTCAGGTGTGTTTGCCGCTCCCGAGGTGGAGTGTTTCAATGAGACTTTATGTTTCTGTCCATTTGCTATAAACTATCAGACCAATCCTGTAATTCCTTCTAAACACCGCATAACTATGGGTGTGCTAGGTCAAAGCTGTACGTTTCTGAATGGTCTCCAATTGTTCAATAATTAGAATCTCACCTAATTTCTTCTTTAAAATTGTAGATTCCTGCAATGTGTGGCACAATTGTAATACTTATGGTAGATGCTTGTTTACCAAAACTGGATATTACGAGTGTGTGTGCAACTGGCTTCACCTCCGGAAAAATGGCTACAGATGTCACGAAATTCAAGAGCGGTGCAGCGAAGAAGACCTATGTGATATCAACGCAAGTTGTACATATGACAGCTACTTTGACCGACAAATATGTAAATGCAAAGACGGATTCCAAGGGGACGGATTGTCTTGTACTACTGTTCGTAAGTTTCTAAAGATAAAGTATATACTCCTCATTTTTAATTTTTTTATTTTCCAGTCGGGATAAAACTGAAGTAAATGATTGCTACGAAAACGAAGAGTGCCGTTTTTCAGCCGCAGTTGATGAATACGACTGCGTTTGTAAACCAGGTTACATCAAAGATTCGCAAGAACAATGTGTAAGAGCAGAAGGCCTCTGTGGTGGCGCACGTTGTGTTGTAAACGCGGAATGTTTATTTGATGACATAGAGAAAGCTAATTTCTGTCAATGCAAAGACGGGTACGACGGTGACGGTATTATTAGTTGCACTACTCGGCCGGTAACTTGCGATATTCAAAACAACTGCAGCTTGCATGCCTCCTGCGAGTACATTGCTGACAGATATCAATGCGTGTGCAATGAAGGTTTTGTTGGCGACGGTATCATTTGTTATGTAGAAAAAACATGTCACGTGGATCCGAGCCTCTGTGATAGCAACGCACGTTGTATCACAAATGCACAAAGAAAATACCACTGCGAATGCAATCCTGGATTTGACGGTAACGGAACCGGGCTACGAACGTTCGCCATGAAGGTGTAAACCCCTTCTGGTAGCCCAAACCAAGGAATAGCAACCCTGAAGTTACCCTACGATCCTAACAAAGAACAAGGAAAACCTATTCATCTACAATTCACTCAACTAGCCGTTGGGTTGGATGTAGATTGTGTTGCTGGACGAATTTATTGGACAGATATCCATCAACATGTTATCAGAAGTGTGTCGTACAATGGTTCGGAAAAGGAAGATTTTATCACGAGGAATATTGACTCGCCGGAAGGATTAGCTATGGACTGGATATCGCGAAATTTGTACTGGACAGACTCTAAAAAGGATACGATTGAAGTTGCTAATGTCCAGACCAAGCTCCGCAAAGTTTTGTTTAATTCTAATCTTGTTAATCCCAGAGGTATAGCGGTGCATCCTCAGCGTGGGAAACTTTTCTGGAGCGATTGGAACGAGCTGATCCTGTAATTGAATGGGCCAAACTCAAGATGGTTCTGGTCGGCAAGTGATTTTCGAAAGAAGGAATTTGTTGATTGCCTGTCATAACGGTAGATTATGCAAATGAGCAATTGTGTTACGCCGATGCAGGTGTAAAGAAAATCATATGTGTTGACATTGACAGCAAGCAGCCACATGTTATAGCGGAAAATTGTTCATATCCATTTGGTATTGCAGTTACTTCCGAGCACATCTACTGGTCGGATTGGTCAACGTAAGTATTCCATAACTAGCCTAAAACAAAACATTAGACAATAATTAAAATGTTCTTAAATATTATTGTTTCAGGAATAAAATTGAACGCGTTGAGAAAAGCTCATTAAAACGTTTGACTGGATTGAAAGTACCAACAATTGGACGAAGCAATCGACTATTTGAGTTGGCTTCAGTTCCTGACGATTGTCCGAATTAGACGAATGTGTGCTATTATTACAAGGATCAATGTTTGCCAAATCACATTTGTCTTCCTGATGGCAAGAATAGTCGTAGTTGCGTGTGTGCAGATCCAATAGATTCGAACCAGTCTTCTTCTTCTTGTGACACTTCCAACAACATTGAATGAAGACCATTATAACTATTAAATACTTATACTTTTACTTTAGACAGCCTCTAATACTAAAATCACCTTATTAGAGTTACATTAAATATCTAATGCAGATATTGTGGCAAATGTATTATATATGAATACATAGTGCCATTATTTTTATATTATAAAAGTATACAATCCAAATCAAATATTAAGTTTTCATTATTTATTAATATATAAAAAATTATACATAGTGCCAAATTGATCATAATAGTATATAATTAAAAGTAGCAATTTAATAATTCATCATTTACAAAAATTAATCAGTAGTTACTTGTTCTTGTCTCCATCTGCATTTTCTGTTGGTGGAGAATTCTGTGGACTAGCATCATATGATGCTTTATGTTTGAGAAGGTAGTTTGCAAGAGCTGGTATAGGATCTTGTGGCCTTTCCTTGGCCAGGAATGAGAGACCCTGTAGAAGAATAGGCACCACAGTTTGATCCAGGTATTGCCTTGTAGGTAAGGTGGAAAAATCCACTCTGGATTTCTTCACTGGGCCCTCATATTTCTTAGGTTCAGGCTTGTCCATTGCTACATCCAAATAGTTAGTAAAGATGTTTAATTTGAGATGAAATAACTTACCAAGAGAAGAAAATGGTTTTTACTTGATATATTTAGAGGGATAGCAGGTAAAATAATACAATTTGTTTCCTGTGTTTACTAGATTTTGAAATTACGCTTTTACTTGGCAATTAAAGTAAAGATATAGTATAAATGTAGATAAAAATATAAGCACCACAACTATGTTTCTTTATAAAAATTGAAATCGTAGAAATTTAGAGCATTTATATACAAATAACTCAATCGGAGAGGTTATCGGTAAACTAAGAACTGACATTTCAAGCCAAGAAAAACCCCAACGTTTAAATGTAATTCATTTTAATGTGCGCTTTAGGCTTTAAAGCAGCAAAATGTTATTAATTTTATGTTATTCTATCAATTTTTACTAAATAATTGTAGTTTGTTGCGCTTGTCAATATGGTAAATTATTATATTTATTAAAATGGTTAGACAACTAAATTTAGTAACTACGATATCTAGGTTGGTAACCTGTCTTAGTTCCATAGTTAGTTCCATTTCAACCGGCCATCTTATAGCTTGTTATTCCACCGCTCGTTGATTCAGTTGGTGATAGTGAGCATAAAAGTTTTATTTCTCTCACAAGAATTGCAGTTTTGTGATAAATAAGTGCAAACCCAACCAGGCGTTTTGTTACACAACGATTTCTCATGGACATAGAATGAAAGTGACTGTAAAAAGTAAGTCTACTTTTCAGTCAACATTGGTAAGTGGACTACCCCTCTCTTGCCAAAGCTTCTTGTGTATCTTTAGACTGGACAGGTGTAGCCACATGGAAATGGGTAGCAAACGACGATAGCTGCGGAATTTGTCGCATGCCGTTCGACGCATGTTGCTCTGATTGCAAGCTGCCTGGTGATGACTGTCCTTTGGTGTGGGGCCAGTGCTCACATTGTTTTCATATGCACTGCATTGTAAAGTGGTTGCAGTCACAACAAGTCAATCAACACTGTCCGATGTGTCGGCAGGAATGGAAATTCAACAATAAGTAGCTGCATAAATTCGTGTAAGTTCCCGGTCATTATAAATTTTATTCAAGACTTTAATATCTAACCATAACATGATAAATGTGCGTTTGTTTGTATTTATGTGCGATAGTTCACATGATTCTCCGGCACGAAAACACAGATGGTTGGTGTGTTAAAAGGAGAATGAATTGTTTTGCGACAAGTCGAAAACTTCTGCAATGTTGTTGTTTTCACACAACGATAAGATTTATTTATTTTACATCTCTGTAATGTACGATTCATACCTAAGAATTCGATGTTCTTAAAATAAGGAATTGCGATGAGTCCGTTTGTCATCATCACAGCGTTGGCGGACAACTGTTAAATAAATTACACACAATAACAGAGTGGCAACAAAAATAATAAATGAGTCTTTAAAACAAATTAGGCTTCGTGAACGCGGCGATTTTGACGGGGCGCACTGACATGGATTTCATGTGTTTGTTGTTTGGTTTTGGTCGACATAGGACAACATAATATGGTTCCGATAAGCAATTAAGAAATTAAATTTAAACACATGCCGACCGAAAAACAGAAATTTTCTAATAACATTCACAATTCCCATCACCTGACGGTAAGACTCAGCTAGTTCCAATGGTTTAATGAATGCACATACTAAATTCAGTAAACAAAGTACTTTTGAATTATTCAACTTCAGTAGCCGTCGATAGGGCGTACAATTTAACAAAGTAAAGAGCCGCGAACCGTAATTTGACATTACGCCGGTGGTTTGATACCAAGCGCATTGTTGTTAATGCGATGGCATTTGTGCAAGAATTGTGGGAACGTTTCCTTCCTAACAAACCACTTCAAGATTTGCGAAAACCTCACTGTGCGCGACTAGTCTAGTCGCTAATTTACTTGCATTTGCTTTGCGGTTGTATCGAGTGTGTCGACTGCCTTTTTTTGCATTGAATTCGAATTAGATTTTCTCGTTGTCATACCTTCACCCATTAACAAGTCGCGAACGCCGCAATAAATTCTAACGACATTAGTTATGTCAGTCATAAAACTTAACATAGGAGCGGTTTTTAGGAAATTGTTGAATGTTAGCAAGCCAGTCACAGTCACCTATCGTGTTAATTATATCAGACATCTGTCGTTCGATTTTTCAAGTTAATCCCGAAGAGTTCTAGCTTACAAGCAGAGTGATAAACTAATTCCGGGATCTAAAATTGTAATTGTGCTATAACGCTAGAAATCATAAATGTTTGATTGACTTGAACTAACAACTGGAATTATCAATTAACAGAGAGTGTGGGCATGACTTAATTGACATCCGTAGCGGCATAAAGTAAATCTATGATTGTTTCTTTTTTATTTACAGAATAAATACGCTGTGGCAATATTCATTTCGTCCTGTATTATTATGTTGTCGATGATCACTGTACTGAAAAATGACTGTAACAATGTAAATTAAAAGTTTCTCTTTACTAAATAAAAATCGAAAGTCGTTTCCCTCTTAGCCCCGGCCGACACTCTCACACTCGATGCAAATGCGGTCACGTGTTTTCGTTCCGCGACTCTCTTTTGATGCACGTCGCGGCGTTAGGCGCGCACGTTGTCCCGAAGAATGTACACGCATGTAAATTCTAATTAAACCCGAGCGCTCGTTGAGCGTGTCTCGTATCTATTTCAAGCGGAGAAGTAAATGTCATACGAGGTCCACCATGATTCGTATAAAGTGTAACCTTTTCAAAGTCACGTAGAGATATATACGGGCAGCCGCCTTGCGGCTTGCATGCGGCATGCACTTGCATATGCCAGAATTTATTTCTTTGCTATACAGTATGTGCAGACAACAACAATACCACACGCATGACTATCACCTGGTGGGCCTTACAGCAGAATGTATACCAAAATTGTTAGAAACGTGTTTATTCAATTCAATGTTTACATCTTTGTTTAGTGAAGTGATTCACATCGTTTTTATCGTAGCTGAATTTTGGATAGAGATAGATTTGAACTTAAATTGGATGAGATATAAGTAGTTATATATTTTGTCTTGAGATGGCGCTAAGTTACACTTATTTACACTAAATTATACATCCGTGTAGCTGTGAGGTTCTTTTCACGTTCTTTTTGTGCCGCGAATTGTTTTATCGGTGTTCGATAGATATTTGCGTACACGATACGTTTATAAACTTGTTATCTGGTGTTTTATTTTTATTATTTTACGTATTTATACTATAATTCCTTATCTTAATACCAATATGAGTTTTAACTTCGGCATGAAAGTAAAATTTCAAAAAATTAAATTTTAATAACCTGACTGATGACAAGCCGCTTCCAGGAAGTAATCATATTTATAATTTTGGTTGTGTTATTCTTCAAATCTGGAGACTTTCTAACATTAAATATATTTAAAAAAATTAATTATGAGTGTCATAAAAGAGTAAGCGACTGTTTTGCGTTAATTTGCTAGTTTTATTGTTTCATAGTTTTTTTTTCGTTCAAGAGAATAACCCTGAACTTTTTATACTTCATTCATTTTCATACTATGTTTTAATGTTTAAATTTAATTATTTTTCGCAGTATTAAAAACAAAGTAAATGAGCCCTTGGCAGCAATATTGTATCTGAAGTTTAGAATCAGTACTCAATTAACAGTGTGTTTGTGCACCTTCGAAGGAGGCTTAAACTAGTTTGTATTCAAATATCGTTTTAAAGCATTGTACTTGTAGGTTGAAGGTGCTAATTGTAATTTTATGTTGTGCTTCTCAACGTGCACAAAGCTTAACATAAAATTAATTATCTGCTCAGTCCGTTCATATTCCATAAACTGTAAATTCACTAATCTTTGCACTTGCCAGCCGCTCTATAAGGAAAATAAGCCTTCTCCTCGACACGCGCTGATTTATTCACACTTTAGAAACACTTATTCATTGCATAACAATTCCTTTTTCTTACCTTTCCTTTTCGTCGATAATTTCAACGCGTTTATAGTTTGCCAACGTGCTAAATGCATAAGCACTACTATTGAAACGCTGAATGCAACATTTATACATTATTCACGTTATACACCATGCATCCCATGGCGTTGATCATAATATCGCTTTACAAATTTACCAACTTGTGCATTTCGCAGCAAAACCTACGGTTTGTGCTGGTTCTTCGTGTTGGTTCGTGACCGATCTGACATTCTGGCACCGGCTATGTTGCTCGAACCACGCGAGAATTATTCGAAATATTGAAACACTGCGTTATAAACGATCGCGAAACTTTTAAAAGGTAAACATGGCGAAAATGCTCATTTCTCAGCGCCTCGCCCACGATTCGGTTAGGAACACCCGCACCGTATTGCGGCATGGTAAATCTGATAAACTCTCGGTAAACGTAAACTTTACTCTTGTGTATTTACATACCTCTGGTACTCTATAGTTATGCAAATGCGCTGTGTTGTCTATACTAGTGCGAATTGCGTGAAAAATAAAGTAAATGGTAACGATTCAATCGAAAGGCCGCACCGACGACGTAAGCGCACCGAAATAAGTACTCCATCCCCGATGCAAATCTACGGCGTGCGGCGCGATAACCTCGGCGCGCAAAGCTGTGTTCGTTTCGTTTGCTATTTGGTGGTTCATAAATGCGATGTTTCTATGTATGTAATTTATTTTATGCTCCCGTTATTAGTTTTACTTGCTCGTGATCGCGTTGCTATATGCCGGTCGTCATGGGACGTGAGGCAACAGGTGTTCGCATTTTTTCCATTTTATTGCCTCAGTTCTTATGCTTCTATGCTTCAAATTAAATAATGTGTATGCATCGCTCGTTAATTGCGTTGCTCCAACACCGAGAACAACGAACAAGCTGAATATCGTCCGCTACCGGAACGATCTCCTCTACGTGGTGTTGTGCGTGCCTGAACTCAAACTTGAGTGCTTTTCGCGATCGTTACTCGTCTCGTAGTTTCGATTTCTTTATATCTCGACTTTAACACGCTGTGCTCTTGAAATGAACCCATTAATAATGTAATAAGTAATTATTTCAGTAATTAAACTAGAGAGCACCGCGGTAAATTTGAGTTCATTCAAGTACTTAGGACGTAATATAGGCCGGTATTTAATATCTTTATAAGATACCATTTGCTATTACAATGCGGATCTGCGTCATAGTGATCATTGTCTTATTGTGAGTGTCTTCTTGACGGCAACTGCAATTGCAATACAGCATAATAGTGGCAATAATAATGATTGAGTTCACATAAACAGTAATTCCACTCAGGCGGCAATGGCAAAATGTGACTGAAATTCTTTAATCAGCTTCATTATTTGCGATTGTATTTAGCATGCCAGTCACTTGTTTGTTTGACTTCCACTTGCATTGGCGACATATGACGCCAGCCTCGAACATAATTATTTATGATTGTGACATTTTTTCTGTGCATGGCGTACACGGTTATTTACAGCCGAGTGTGTTGTGCGTTTCATCTCGTGGCTGAATTGTTGTTCGGCGTATTTTCCCTGCAACATCTGTAATTATTACACAGCTGCTTTTTATTTAATCAACGAAACACGCGATATTTAGCTGTTTGTAAAATGCGCGATGTGAGTAATGTTTACTTTGCGCAACGTGCCGATTTTTTTGTGTTTTGCATGCACTTTGAAGCCATTAAAATTTTAGTTTGCACATCTTACGAGTTCTGCATTTCCAAACTTACTCAATTTAACCTCGAAGCGTCCAAAACACTCAACAGCCACCTCTTTCGCGGAGTAAAACAAATTTCAACAAGCTTGTCGTAATTGTTAGGAAACCAAAGCGTGCAGCGCTAAAAGTTTAACTATTACATATGTAATTAGAATTGTAGTTGTTTGTCAGCAGCAAGCAGTGAGTAACTGCAAACGCGTTTTACACGAACGCACGAATTTTATTTATTTTTACGCTGCTTTGTATTTCCCTAATTTTTGAATTTATGAACGCCAAACGCACAAGCGTTATGGCATTACATTGGCATCAAAAGAGAAAATGCGACAGTTTTGTTAACTTTACGCTACTGTTTTATGCTTTCTTGTGTTCTTGGTATCTTATAAGAAGTCGTTTCCAGACAAGAAAAAAACATTTTAAGTAGACGGAAATTATTTATGATTAAACGCATGACTACAACTTTGAACCGATTGGCACCCGGTAATAGACCGATGAGTTGGATAGTTGTGAGAAGTATGTTGAGTAAAAATTGCACATTTTTTGCCAATAAACCACGACGTCTCTGGTGATTGAAAGTACTTGATGGCGCATAGTATGTACATTTTAAAAGTATGTTTCCAGCTCATTTAAAATTATTAAAACTTACTTTGCGAACTGGTCAAAACAATTTGAACTTAAATGAAATGGAAAATTCAAGTAACGTGTGACATTAACAGCATTGTAAAATAATAATCAATTTTTGATTGTTTGATTTTCTACAGTTCTTTTGAGTAAAGAGGCGCTTTCGTTCGTTGCGCAGGCCGCTTCACTTCCGCGCAACAGACACTAAATTTGCACGTGTTAGTGCCCTCGATAAGCGTATTGAAATGCGTAAATTTGCCCATCCGCTCGTGCTCTGTCTCGTTCGACTGCTTCCAATAATAGCAATAAAAGCAAACTAAGCTGGCCGATTGTATGGATGATTATTTCGTTTATTGGGGCGGTGCGTATGTACAGCACGTGTCAACAGCTGGCCGTCCAACTTTCGTTTTCGTACGGCCTCGAACGACAGACGATGCACAGTCTCAAACTTTCAGCTTGTTACAAAATACGAAATAATACAATCTGGCTTAAAGTACCTGTAAATTTGATGTAACAATGCAGCCGCTGGGCCTGCCGCACGAGTCAAAAATCCAAGAGCCCCTAAAGTTTACAATACAAGCTGCACACGGTTTGAGTTTTATTTTTGTGCTTGTATTAGTACGCCACCTTTGTATACAAGCGACTATCTGTTTTGAATCGTTCGTGCATGGTGGGGCGAGTCTAGGTAGCTGAGCGTGGTAACGAATACCACGCTTGTTCACGTTCAGTATCATCTGTTTAGTAACTGTAGCCTGTTGCTTGTTGTGCGCGCGCTCAATAATTTAGTCGCCTGCTACCGCTCGTTTGTTGCGAACGTCGTGTGTGCGCCCGCGTGTGTGATTCATACGATAACGATTGTTGTTTACTCAATGTGACTCAAGTGCGGCGCTGTCGATTAGCATGATTACCACGATGCGCGCGAACGGTACTAAAGTGAATAAGCCTCCTCCGCCCGTACCGCCGAGGCCCAGCAAAAATGTCGTCGCCGAGGCACTCGCTAAGTCCCGAAAGTCCGACAACGGCCTTGCTAATAATAACATTACCAACGGTACACCACCCGTGGTGAAGTCGCAATCCTATTCGGCTATATATAAATTTAATAACGCGCCGAAAATAGACCGCGGGGTAGTCACTGAGGAACCACCAAAGCCTGCAACGCGCACATTGATTTATCAATCAGCAAACATCAATCGCTGCCGGTCTCACAGGTGCAGCCGCTGCGAAACCGAGTGTCTTCCGTGGAAGAGATTAGAGTCAATGTGAATCGGAAAGAATCAATCAAGCGCGAATGCAGAACGGTGACGAAAACGAGCAGCTTCAAAACGAAGCCGCCCGAAGTCATCCTGTTACCGGTTGAGCGCACTAAGCTGGAAGATCGGGACTCCAGTTTGGAGTCGCTTTCGTGACTCTGAACCCATCTCCCGATCTAACAGTTTTAAAACGGACGCTAATAATAGCTCTGATTCGGTGATTAGCGAGGATGAGGGCAATTGGAATAACGACACGACTGATAGAAATCATGTAAATACGCTAATTGATGAGATGTTCGCAAGCGTGTTGGATTTGCCTGATAAACCAGAACCGGTCGCCACCGCGGTTGACGATTGCTCAGTTGGGCTGGAGTCGCCAAAGCCACCTTGCGATGTCGTTACCATTCGAACGGCAGTCTGCAAGGACGAATCGAACGATGCGAATGACTCACCCACTCCACATCATCAAACGAATCAAAGCAATCATGATTCGAAGAAAACAATTGTTGTACTCGAGCCTCGGTGCGAACTACCGCACCAAAACGTGCCAATCACGCCAACCGCAAACGTAAACACACCTGCGAACGCCAATGACGTAAATGCGAATAATATATTGCCTAAAAGTTATAAAACCCAGCGCAAAATTGATGACAAATTCAATCATGAATTACTAATATCTGAGCTGTCCTCCATGAAACGCGATCGGCAACTATTTAAACGTCAACGTAACCCGTCGGAAAATTCCTCTTCGTCTCCTTCGTCCGAGTGCAAAATTCAGCACTCTGATTGGGTCGAGGTGAACGACGCCAAAGAGATACGTCTATCCAGCTGCCAAATCACTATTGCAGATGATGACGAAAAGGAGACTAAGCAGGCGCCGTGGATATGCCATTTCCAGACTCGAATGGCTTTCTAACCTACACGGGCCCACCTCCGCCCCCGCCCTCAGCGGTTTTAACATTGAAGGACCTCCGCCAGCGCCTTCGTCAATTGGACGACCCGGAACGAACAGGAACCCCAAGAATCCAGCATCGACCAACGGTGAAACCAGGATCACCTGCGCCCAGTAATTTGACGCTGTTGGCCCCTACTACGAAATGGTAAGTTTTTCATGACTTTTCAAATTCGTGTATGGCGTTCCTTTTATTATATTTGTGCTTAACGATGCGAAGTTCCCGGCTGGTGGCCCGCCAAGACCAGCCGCGGACAACGCCGGTGCCCACTATCAACTCTCCGCGGATGCCTCTTGTTGCTTCGTATTGCGCGTGTCGCCGTCTTCGCGCTCTCGTATTATTCAAACATAATTGAGATAAAATTACAGTCCATTAAAATGCGCGCCGGCGATTTTTTTCTATTTGTGTCATGGTTCAGCGCAACCGAGTTTCCTAGTACTGAGTGCATTAATTATGGGCGGAATAAGCCAAGCGAGCGACGGAAACTTGCGACGTTATTCTTCGACGCTCAGGGCCGCCGCCATCGCGAAATAATACTCGAAAACATTTTGCGATGACATACTATATAGGTGCTTGCCATACTGTAATGCTTGCTGAATATGCGCGCCCGGCGTTCTCTAACCTTTCTCGTAATATCCTGCGTTAGGAAATACCTCTTATGTCTTGCAAAAGACTGCAAGCGAGTGAATAAACTAAGATCCACCATAAATTTTATCCATCTTCCATATTTATATATATATATATATATAAATGTATTACGGTACGCCAGTTTTGCTAAAACGGTTGCAAACAAACGATGAAAAATTCGTTTAGGCCTAGTAAGCGGTAATAATAGAGAGGAGAGAAGAACCTAGCGACCTGCGACTGGACTGCTGGACGGCTCAGACACGACTGAGTGCGGTGCTCCCTGTACACTCGCCTTTATACCATGGGATTACCCGCTAATAGTGGTGGAGGAAGGACTGTTTTCGTCCGCAGTTTGTGTCGGGAACCTGTGCTGGAAGGGTTACTTGATTTATTGCAAGGATACGTGGTGCGTGTGCTGGCGAGGACTGGGTGTAAGGTAAAGTCATTGTCATGACGATTTGTTACTATAAACCCCTCGACCTCTAATAATTTCTAGTATATATAAGGGATATAAATATACGTTAACGACGTTGCCATTTTGTTATATTTGCAAATACGCATGTCGTCTTTGCTTATCCAAACAATCCAAATGGCCACCAGACGAAAAAACGCATTAAATAGAAAATCCAATTGTCTATTATCATCACATCAGCACATCGCATCTAATTATCTTGAGAGTCAAAGACGCGACTAACCCGCGTCATATGTTGCATTGTTCCACACGTTTACGACGATGGTTTACGCCTAGATCAGAACCGCGAAGCCGGCGACACGGCGTTAGCTGTTTTGCCGCTAAGAATTAAAGCTTTTGTGCAGCAAATATAAAACTTTTGTTTTATTTGCGGGACGTTTGCTTCCCCGTTGCACACTGGTGCTTAGCGCTTGCTAGTCGGGTTGAAAACAATCACTGAGAGACAATAAAGACGATGAATCGAGAACAAAAGCGAGTGATATAATCACCATCGCGCTCTGCAACGCAACTCGGCACTAAAGATTTAGGCTGCGATGCGCTGTTTTAAATGCGGTTAGACTACATCATATTGCTTTAGATTGCAAATGGTAATGAAACCGCGACGAATGCATTTTATGCGCGTCGTGCTAAAAGTGCACCGGTGTAGAGTAGATGTGGAGGTTTTACGATTTACCATCCGGTAAAAATTTCACGCGATCGTAAAAAATTGAACAAATAGCCGACCAGACCGTGTTATCGCTAATTTTCCGTACCAATTGTTTCATATCTTTTTCATTTATCATTTGTGCAGTGTTATTCTACCTAGAATCAGACAGCCTACAGAATTCTATATCACTTATACAGCAAGTTGAGTTGATTGATCAGTAGTAATTTGTACGGTCTCGCATTTAGTAGCGGGAAAATCAAATTTAATTACCTGATTAACCACTCGTTCAAGGCTTCAATCCATATTTAAAATGATTGCACTCACATTTATGTATTAATTACGCGCCGGCAAACGAGCAGATTAATTAGATGCACGGCTTCCAGTTCGAACTTTCATAAATGGGAAAACCGTTATGACGCTTGGGCGACAAAATCCAACTGGATGTATTAAAAACGATTTTTTGTTGTTGTCAAATTAACAAACTTTCGCCCGCATTCATCGCGCACAATTACAACGTGCTTTATATTTATTGAATCAATTGAGCATTGCGTTTGGTTTCTATTAGAGTTGTATTCGTGTCAAGTTGCAATTGAATTTCATATGAAATTAGCCTTTTTACTCATAAGTTGAACTTTTCTGCACACTTTTAGTGCTTCGTTATTTTATACGTCGATATTTTATACATCCTTTAATACATTATATTGCTATTCGATTGCAGGCACACGCGCCATGCGTAGCTTTTTTACTTGCAGAACTTGCACAATCTTCCACTGCATTAGGCTCGGATCGTGGCACTGCTAATTTAAAATTGTAATTGAAACGTTTAATTGCACTTTGCAGTTTTGATTAGTTTGTCACCAGATTTAATATCATTTGTTCATTTTACGATTGTGTTGCGACTTCGAAATGTTTATTTCTTGCCCCAACACAACGTGTCTGAATAATAATGCCGCCAAAACGTGCGATTGATTTTAATTAGCCCGGCCCGAAGGCTTCTTGCAGTGGTAAAAAAACACATTATGTTGACGGCGCTCCGTTGTCTTGTCTCTTGTCTCTCCTCTCATGATATGAATACAATTGCGTGTGGCGTGCGGCGTAATGGAATGCGGTGATTGCGACGAAGTGTTGAGAGGTTTTGTCGTATTCGTAATATTTACATTGTGTGCGGAGAGAAATAGGTAACCGCGTGTGTGCAATTTTAGCGCGGTTCTCCTGCCTCTGCAGATCTAGGCTTGTTCCTTCCTCGGTGTTTACCCTTGTGTAATTGGCGAAAAAATCGCTCTGATGCAAATGCTCAGGCGAACTAACTCTGAGAGAGAGCCCGCGTTGGCGATAGACGAATCCGTTGAATGGAGGATAGGCGCCCGCGAGAAGCGTTACATAAATGTTATGACCTTTCGAATTATATAATCGTCGTGCTTTATAAATATATGCCGTACCTACCTAAATTCGAATGCACGCCGCAACATAACAAGCTAGCGTTCCGAACAAAACGTTGGATTGTTTGGTGGGCCTCTTTGACTTTTCTTTGCCCAAAGGAAACCAACTAACGCGGGTAGTATTTAAGGTACCAATTGAACAAAGCCTTTTTGCAGTTGCAAAATACTATAAAATGCGGCTCTGACATAGAAAACTTACAAATGCATGAAATGCAACCGACTTGCGGCACACGCGCTGCTATTTTTATAGCTTCATGCACTCGCGGTCGGTGGTGAGCTTCTTTCTTATTCTTGCTCAAATGCATAAATCATAAACGCAAGCGCATTAAGAAATTATCCAACTATAATATACTAGAGCATGACTGTAATTATAGTACTAACAACGAGGATACACTGAAATTGTTACGAATGTTACGATTACAATTAACAATCGACGCGCACACTCAAATGGAAGTAAAAATAACACGAAAACACATATACAGACAGCGGCGCAACAAAGCGAATTTATGAGTTGTATATCATAAACGCATACGCATGTACGTTATAGTGACTAATTCCATTTAGTAAATTGCAGTGATGTAGCGCCTCGGCCGATTTGGTTTCACTTGGAACACGACCATCGTAAACTTATGTACAAACGCGCACATCAAACGCATTCTTGTTTTATATTAGTTTGTTTAAGACATTAATTAATTTTATCTTGCTAATTGCAATCGCATACACGCCGCGTTTGCACGTACGAGATGCGTACGTACACGACTACAATCGTGTACCGGACTCCACTTCGTCGGTTTTGTGCATCCACGCTCTGGACCTGAGCGTCGAATGCAACTCGCAGCATGCGAAATGAAGAAAGCACTTCGGTCTCTTTTTTCTACTTGCATTCACAGTCGCAATTTACGTGCGTAAAATTGCGCACAGCATCGCGTATCGTTCGTACCCCGCATTTAATGATATCCGCTCATTTTCTAAAATGTATATAAATATAAAACCGCATGAAATATATTCATGTCGTGCGTGTGTTGCGAGCGTGTAACCGCGTTTGAACAATTTTTATTGCTCGACGACAGAGCGAGCAGCAGTGTCCGACCGACCGACAAGGCGAGGTACACCAACGACACAACATTCGCGACTTTCTATGCCGCACATTTGTATGTTTAAATATGTATACGTTCAATGCGAGCCGCGGTGAATGAATGCGCATGTAATTAAACGCATCGTGATTTTATTTGCAAGTAAGAGCGCTGAGTATGCCACAGAAAGTCTGCAACAAAAATGTGTTCAATCAATTTGATCTGAAAACGGCAAAAGAAAAGCAAACAAAACAAGCAAAAGTTCACTTTAAACCTGCAAGTAGAAGTACTAGATACATATTGCAATATTTAATTTTCCATTAGCAATTTTGTTGATTCATGCCCATGCCCGTATTGGCTATTAGTTTGTGGTATACTTTGATTCTTTGTCCCGTCTACCGTTGCAAGCCGTCCGCTGATCCGCTTGCGGCGCGCTGAATCGAAGAATCTCGCATTAGCGATGCGGTTAATCCTCGGCTTCTCGATGGCTCTTCGCGAACGAAACCTAAACAACAAAGTCGCGGTCGGCGAGCTCGAGTTCTACATCTAAGGCGCGTTAGATACAATGCAGGTAACCGTGCAGCATACATACACTAACCGATAGTGGAGTAGGTTTGGCTGACTGACTTCTTCTATAGTGGCCTGGACGGTCGGAAGAACGAAACTGCCGTTTTACAGTTAGAATCGACGCTGAGACGTTGGAAAGACGTGCGTCGGCAGAGGAGACTTATTTGCTCGAGTTACGTAGTCGAGCACATCATTCGCCTACCTCACGACTTGTTGAAAGTACTTTCAACCTATCGATTTGTCTAGTTTATGCATCCGTGTGCGATACCTACGCGAAGACAAAACTGGAGCTG